GAACCGGACATTCGGGCGCGGGAAGGCGGTGCTGCCGGGAACCGCGCTGGGCGCCCAGCAGAAAGCCCGCTTCCCCGGCAGGGGGAAGCTGCCCGCAGGCAACCCTCTGCTGGAGGGTCAGGGCTGTGTCCCCCAGACCTCAGTCCAGCAGCCACGCCAGGTGCAGGGGGCCCTGAGCGTCCACCCTAGACGGTCAGAGCTGGCAGGGCCTTCGGTGTCTCCATCGCCCCTCCCTCTTCACAGGGAGAAGGCTGAGGCCCAGAGAGGGGCAGTGACCTGCCTGTGGGCACACAGCAGGGGGGCAAGGTCACCCCCGCCCCCAGGGGGCACCCTGCCCAGGATGGCCCGGAGCAGGGCCCCCCGCCCGCCTTGTCAGTAACTTCCAAAAGCAAGGGCTGCTGAGCGGGAACGCGGTGCGTCCCGCGTGGAGCGTGTGGGCTGGCGGGCGGGAGCGTCTGTATATTTTGTAAACTTTGATGATGATGCCATAGTCTTCTTGTTTGCATAACTTTTTTTAAAAAAAGAGACCTGATATTTTCATTACTTTATATAAATGCAGTTGTAATGTGATCTAACAACCCCAGAGAGAGAAGGAGAGAGAGAAGGAGAGAAAGAGGGAGAGGGAGAGAGAAGGAGAGGGAGAGAAGAGGAGGAGGAAGAGGGGAATGTCACTGCTCAGCCCAGCTGTGTGTGTGGGGGTGGGGGGAAGAAGAGAGGATGACAGAGAGAGAGGGAAAGGGAGAGGGAGAGAAGAGGAGGAGAAAGAGGGGGAGAGCGCTGGGCGCCCAGCAGAAAGCCCGCTTCCCCGGCAGGGGGAAGCTGCCCGCAGGCAACCCTCTGCTGGAGGGTCAGGGCTGTGTCCCCCAGACCTCAGTCCAGCAGCCACGCCAGGTGCAGGGGGCCCTGAGCGTCCACCCTAGACGGTCAGAGCTGGCAGGGCCTTCGGTGTCTCCATCGCCCCTCCCTCTTCACAGGGAGAAGGCTGAGGCCCAGAGAGGGGCAGTGACCTGCCTGTGGGCACACAGCAGGGGGGCAAGGTCACCCCCGCCCCCAGGGGGCACCCTGCCCAGGATGGCCCGGAGCAGGGCCCCCCGCCCGCCTTGTCAGTAACTTCCAAAAGCAAGGGCTGCTGAGCGGGAACGCGGTGCGTCCCGCGTGGAGCGTGTGGGCTGGCGGGCGGGAGCGTCTGTATATTTTGTAAACTTTGATGATGATGCCATAGTCTTCTTGTTTGCATAACTTTTTTTAAAAAAAGAGACCTGATATTTTCATTACTTTATATAAATGCAGTTGTAATGTGATCTAACAACCCACTTACTCGTGCTCTTAAGTGTAATCTCTTCTGCTCAAAGTGCGTGCAGACAATCAGGGTTTTTATGACGTTCTGGCTTCCTGAACAAGAGCCGAAAAGGGCCTTAACGTGCCGTGCGGGTGGCGGGGGTGGAGGGGCTGCGTGTTTGGTTTTCCTCTGTCCCAGAGTGCGAGGGGCAGGAAGAGGGGAGTGTCACTGCTCAGCCCAGCTGTGGTGGGGGGGGAGGAGAGAGGACGACAGAGAGAGAAGGAGAGAAAGAGGGAGAGGGAGAGAGAGAAGGAGAGGGAGAGAAGAGGAGGAGGAAGAGGGGGAGAGAAGGGGAGAGAAACACAGGTGAGCATGGTCCATGGTCCAGGCTGCTGGTCACCTGCTTAGCCGTCTCCGGCTCCCGCCCGGTTTGCTGGGCTCTGAGTGAGAAGACCCGCGGGACCGGAGGGGTCTGTGAGACGAGGGGAGGTGTGGGCAGACGAGGCCAGGGACTCGGGTGCTCGGGCGGAGGGGGCGGCGGCCTCAGAAACAGCCTTCCGTGTGGTGCCGCGGTTCACGCGCCTCGTTGGCCTCAATCCCCACACGCTCGGGCGGGTATTCCTTTCCTCCGTTTTGAGATGAGGAAGCTGGGGCTGAAGGCACAAGGCCGCTGGCCCCTGCAGACGTGGGGTTTGACCCGGTCAGTCTGCCCCGAAGCCTGGGCCCGGCGGAGGGTTCTCCGGGCGCAGCCTCTGCAGGCCCGGGGCTGGGGGCTGGAGGGAAAGGGGGCCTCTCTCTCCAGAGGCTGTGGCTGTGCCTGTTTTAGAAGGTCCATTGGCAAAGAAGTGACAGAGGAAAGCGCACCCATCTGTGTGTGTGTGTACGTGTGTGTGCGTGCGTGTGCGTGCGTGTGCGTGTGCATGTGTGTACGTGTGCATGTGTGCGTGTGTGCGCGCGTGTGCACTGTGTACACGTGTGTGTGCGTGTGTGTGCGTGTGTGTGTGTGTTCGCAGCAAGCGTCTCCTCTGCTCGGTGGGTGGAGGCTGGTGGTTACCGTCCCCTGGAGGCACAGGCCACCCCTCGCAGGGCAGGGGGGGGGCGCAGAGTGGGCTGGGTGAGCACTGCTGGGGGCAGCTCTGACTCCCTCCCTGGAGGGAAAGGGGGCCTCTCTCTCCAGAGGCCGTGGCTGTGCCTGTTTTAGAAGGTTCATTGGCAAAGAAGTGACAGAGGAAGGCGCGCGCGTCTGTGTGTGTGCGCGCGCGCGTCTGTGTGCGCGTATGCACTGTGTACACGTGTGTGCGTGTGCATGTGTACGTGCGTGTGCACTGTGTACACGTGTGTGCGCATGTGTGCGTGTGTGTGTGCATGTGTGTGTGTGTGTGTGTGTGTGTGTGTGTAGACATTAGGTAAGTGGGTTTTGACTTCAAAAGCAAACTTCATTGTCTGAAATGTTCTAATATGTGCGCAGTGCACACAGGGACCATACCCCCGCCGACATGCCACTTGTGACTGTAAAACACGCATTTGCCATCCGTTAGGCTTCTGGGAAGGCACGCCGAGCCGCAGCCAAGTGGCCGTCCTGGGGCGCGTGTGTGTTATCTGGGTTCGCATCCTGTCCACAGCCCGCGGAGCCCTGCCTCCCCCGCTCGCTCGGGGGGACGGGGACCCCGAGCTTCTTCCCAGCTGCGCCTTAAAGCCCCGCGGAAGTGCTCACCCCCGTCCCCCTCGCCGCTTCCACGTTGGAAGTCGGTGCTCTCAAAGGCGGCTGGAGGTTTTCGTCGTTGCTTCATGTTTTTGAAAACATATCTGCTCTACATTTGGAAATAAAAATCTCTATTTTGGTCTATGACATGTGTGGCTTGGAAATTTTTTTTTCTGATGTAAAGGAAGGGGTTTGCCTGAGAAGGTGGGAGGAGAGCGAGGACACGCGACTGGGCCGCTGGATTTTAGCCCTGGCCGCCTTCCAGGGCCCAACCAGTGCCCGGTCTGTGCAAAGGCTGGACTCAGGGCCGCAGCCTCCCTGGACCCCACGTGACCATCAGCGTCGCCTGGGAAGCATCTTCAACAGCCAGGCCAGCATTGCCCAGGCCTTCTGGGTCGCAGTCGTGAGACGAGGGGAGGTGTGGGCAGATGAGGCCAGGGACTCGGGTGCTCGGGCAGAGGGGGCGGCGGCCTCGGAAACAGCCTTCCGTGTGGTGCTGCGGTTCACGCGCCTCGTTGGCCTCAATGCCCACAGGCTGGGGTGGTATTCCTTTCCTCCGTTTCTGAGATGAGGAAGCTGGGGCTGAAGGCACAAGGCCGCTGGCCCCTGCAGACGTGGGGTTTGACCCGGTCAGTCTGCCCCGAAGCCTGGGCCCGGCGGAGGGTTCTCCGGGCGCAGCCTCTGCAGGCCCGGGGCTGGGGTCGCAGCAAGCGTCTCCTCTGCTCGGTGGGTGGAGGCTGGTGGTTACCGTCCCCTGGAGGCACAGGCCACCCCTCGCAGGGCAGGGGGGGGGCGCAGAGTGGGCTGGGTGAGCACTGCTGGGGGCAGCTCTGACTCCCTCCCTGGAGGGAAAGGGGGCCTCTCTCTCCAGTCTGAGTAGAGAGATGGCCCCAGACAGAGCCAGGGCGGGTAGCAGGAGGCCACAGGCCACTAAGACCCTTGGTTTCACTAAGGAGTCTGAGAGCTGGGATCCAGTGTCCCCGCCCACAGCGCCCGGCCACTGCAGGCCGAGGGGATGTGGTTAGAACCAGGGGACCCGGGACACCATCCCCACGTGCGAGGGGAGGCCTGAGAGATGGCCCGGGAACCAGTGCCCGCCCCTCGGGACGGCAGGATCCTAGCAATGGTCTGGCTCGTCACGAAAAGGACAATTATGTCCAGAATCGGAGACAGAGGCCGAGGGGTGCACTTCTGTTCAGACCCCTTTCTGTGAGGAGCAGGATTGGAAACAGAAAGGCTTGCCTCTTGCATATTCATTCCCCTCAAACCGAAAAAACCCACCATCATTTTAAGAATGCACACAATCCGGTTCCTAATCTGTCATTTGATTTCAAAGAGAGGAAGGGAGAGGGAGAGAGAGATAGACACATCAATGATGAGAATCATTGATCAGCTGCCTCCTGCACACCCCACACTGGGGATCTAGCCTGCAACCTGGGCATGTGCCCTGACCAGCAATCAA